AGGATTTAACATTATTTTTTGCAGTTTGAGTTGGATGCAAGGGAGAAACACTGACAAGATATTCTCAAGAGGGCAAACAAATAAAAACTTTGTCAAACTTCAGAAAATCTGGAAAATTTTTAATGTTAGAGCAACATTAAATCAACATAAAGCATTTCACAAAGCATTAATTTAGTAAACTTTGAGCCCATTCAACTTAGCAAACTCCAACCCATCTGACTTTATGTTACTCAAACTTTGAGAAGAAGAAATTAGAAGAAAGAGAGAAGAGATATAGAAAAGAACAAATACAGCTACTACTTCTGGTTCCAGTGGTGTTCCTGTGAGAGAAATTCCAAGAGGCTGTAGGGTGAAGACCTCTGTGTGCCTTGTGCTCTGGCTTATATACCCATTAGCTTTCCTGGGCCCTTCCCTTAGGAGGAATTTCTGGTCGTTTTGCCACTTTGGAGCTGGGTTAGGGGCTCCAGGGTTGGAGTGTGGAGCATTGCCTCCCATGTGCCAGGGTTTGGCCCCACTGTTGGAATCCAGCCCCTGGGGGTACAGGCTATGTGGGGCAGGGCAGGGCCTTGCCAGGGTGAGACCTGACCCGCCCCTTTCCCCACACATGTGCCTGAAAGGTTTCAAGCCAGCAACTTCTACCAGCTCTGGGCTGAGCTGCCTCTGAGGGTCTCTTGAAGAACCTTGTTTGCCTTCAGCAATGCCCTGACTAGCTGCATGTCTGCTGGTCCATCACACATTTCCAGCCTCTCCTGTCTCAACAGCCCACCTATCCCTACCTGTAGGGTCATGGCCTCTGCCCTTTTCTGTGTCTGGCCCTTTCTGTGTCTGGCTCAGCTTTTTCTCCACATGTGCTTCTGCAATATTTTGGTAGATGGTGGCAGCTGCCTTCTCTGTCCCTACAACTCCCTCACCAGACAACACAGAGCTGCTGCCAGAGCCCGCAGAGGGACCTCACCACAAGCATTGTCTGCACAGGGAGCTGTGCAGACAATGGCACAGCCATCCATCATTGTGGCCATTGGAGGGGCAGGGCACTGGGTCCTGCCAGCCAGGCTCACAGGAGGTGCTGGCAGGGCTGGATGCCCAGTGTGGTGGGCCAGGAGCATACCCTGGCTGAGGAAGCCATGGCAGTTTATATGGAGGAAGCTGACAAGCTGTAAACCTGGGACATGGACATCCACTGGAAGTCATCATCAGGTCTGCAAACAGCCCTGTGAAACAGTCCTTGCTCTGACTTTCTTGTTTTGCTTTTCTATTTTTCTTTCAGCATTATCTGGTTTTAAACAAACCTAAGTGGTTTTTATGATGACCGTTTTATGCGGTCATCATAAAAGAAAAAAATTTCAAATAGGAAATCGATTGCTATGATTTTTTCATGACGGGTCCTTTCCATAGACAATAATGCCCTCTATTTGAATGTTATAAGATAGTTCTAATTAAAAGAATAACAAAATGTGTGAAATATATGTCTGTGAAAAAGAGAGGACCAATAGCTTGAATGGGAGGATTTTGTTCCCAGGTGTAACATGACAAAAAGAATTGCAGAAGAAAGAAGAACATTATTTTAATCCTCTTTGTGCCTGAGCCCATGCAAACTGCAGGGGGTACATTATACGTAGAAATATATGGAGGCAAAAGCTCAATCACCAGGAGTGTATGCTCGTGAACATCTAAAAAGTTTTTATTATCTCTCTCTACCTGTCTTTATAAACGAAAACTTACAACTGTGTAGCTCTCAAAATTTTTTAAATTTGGAGGCCTCCATTCTGAAGCTGATGCAGCTGGTACTGGAATAGAGAAAACCAGTAGGGAGTGGCAAGAGTTAATGAAGCTTGCCTGTCAGCTGGGTTCAGACCTGCCTGTGTATCTGCTTACTATTGCAGCTGAATCTCAATTTTTTTAACATTCAGGCATTTAACATTCATGTGAAGTCTAGTAAACACAAAACCACGGAGAGCTGGATGTATGCAGGGGAGCAAGCTAAAGCTGAGAGGATTTTATAGACCAAAGGGCTTGTCTGTTTCTTAGGAAAGCAAGTGTTTGGCATTCCTAGGGAAAGATGAGATACGGTTTCAATTTTTCTTTTGTTTTGGTCTAAAGGCTTGGGGGATGAGTCCTCTCAGGACAAAAAGCAATCTAGGATGCCAACTCCAGAGGTCAAATAAAAAAACTGCAACTAAGTGCAGTAGAAGGATTATAAGTAAAGCTTATGTTCTATAAAAAGAAATTGTGTACTGTTACAAACAATGTGAGAATCTTAATAAGTGAAACCACACCAGCAGTTTATGTTAATAGCTGTTGTGGGAAGGTATGTAGCCTGTTTGTTATTGAAGTAGTATTTTTATGGATTTTACCGGCAGCCTGCTAAATATTCTTCAGATTTCTCTCATTAATTCTTTCCATATTTGTGGACTAGAGCCATCACAACAATTTTACTGCAGATGATTTGTTTAAGAGGTTTTCTGTTTAGCAGCATGAATGTATTTCCCAGAAGAAGCCAAACTGGCCTCAAATCTGTCGAATAGGCATAGAGTGTATTGTCTTGCGAGGCTTCATCACGTGCTACCATATGAAGATAAAAACAAATGGATGTTGGTCAGAATAAAGCTGCAAGTTTTGTCTGTAGTGCTCTGTGGTCTTGTTACAATTACATAGAGAAAGCTAAAGGTAGATGCCACTAGCTTGTGCTTGTTTGGTTTTCCTTGAATTTAGTAGATAATTCAGTCTGACCTCAGTTATCAGAGTTAAATTACAGTTTCAGGAATTGTGAATAAACCCTTCCTGCAACTACCTTTTTTTTTTTTTTCTTTTTTTTTTCTTCTCATGATTACAGATTTTACTCTTCTGTGAGATCTGGGATCTCAAATGCCTTCTGTTAGCAAACCTCTGGAGAGCTGACATAGTTTTGACCTTTCTCACACGTCAGCTTTATTATACGCTGAACAATGTGGGAGAGAAAAACAACCCAGCAATAAAAACAACCCACCTCCAAAATATTGGGAAGGTAGCAGGAGGATTTAGGACTGCAGGAAGGGGATGTTGTGTACAACTTTGCTGTCTTTTAGCCAAGCTGATCTCCTGCATGGATCAAGAAAAAGAGATGGTTAGATATCAGACTTTCAGGAGTGTGGGGATAACTGAGTGGTTCCTTGGGATAAGCAAAATCTATTCAGGGGCAATTCAGGGCAAGCAGAATGAAAGATTTAGAGCTCAGTGGCTTGCTCAGGAAGGAAAACAAACAAGGGTTAGGGATTGGCAATAATTCTCAAAAGCCTTTTATTTGAGAAATTGTCCTGTCTATAAAATGTAAAAAGCTTTCTGTGCCTTTCTTTTCAATTTAATTTTCTGAAATTTACACTTACAGCCTTATAGTTCAAAAAAGAGTTTTTAAGGATTAAATATACTTAAAATTGTAAAATCTCTTTTATTGCAGCACTGGTTATTGATTGGTATTGCTTGTAAATTTTGGTCTATGTTATTCTATGTTGTATGTATGCATATGTTGATGATTCTTCTATAGTACTGAGAATTTCTTAAGAGCTTGGTTTGAGATTTGACCACAGTCACTCAAACTTTTGTAAATAGGTTTATGCAAAGTCATGAGAGGATAAAATTCAGCATACCCTTACAGTGAAACATGAAAGTTCAGCATCAACAGTTTTTGTTTTTTCCCACTATCATTTTTAATCATATATAGTGAGGCATTTGCTATTGGATTTGTTGTCCAAGAGATTAAAATTTTACCTAATTTGGAAAGCAAAAAGAGATCTGTGACCTTCAAAGATATCCTAAACCCCTGTAAAATTGATTGAGTGAAATTTGACCAAAGGGAAATGGAATCAATCACTTATGTGTTGTGTATTGTATACAGGTTGATAGTGTTGCACCAACATTTTTCACAAGATGGCTGAATTGTTAATATTTCTTTAACTTTTTATCAGTCTCACAAAGCTGATCAAACAAATAATTGTGTGCTGTGCAACTAAAGCATATATACCTGCTTCTACAAAATTTGAAATAACTTCTCATGTTACAAGTATGGAAGAGAACCCATATTTTTTAGTCTTTACAAGCAGACAGATGTAGTGATCTCAATTTAAATACTGGCAAATGAAAAAAACAAAGTGCAACACTGCAGCTGTGTATGGATAGGTACCTGTGTGCATTCCTCTTCCCTTTTAAACGCACCATAGGAGAAAGAAAAAGAAGGGGGAAAAATGGGGGAAAGTGAGCAATGAATGGGGAGGAGAGAAAAGGGAGGGAACAGGGAAGGGAAGGGAGCAGAAAATGTAGAGGAAAGGAACAGAGAAAGGAAATATGAGAAGAAAGAAGGGGATAGGAAGAAATAAAAAATACAAAGAAGCCCCTTTTAAGTGTCACCTGGTGGGCTTGAACCCATGTATTCACATACCTTTTCTATTAAAAAAAGAGTTGCATCTGCCCTTGCCAGGTATTGCACAAGGTGCTGAATGCTATGAGGTTCATAGATAAATGAGACAAGATGGATGTAAACCCAAGGGAAATTTTCATCTTTCACCTTAGCACCAGAAAAGATTTGATACATTATTAAGATGCCAACTTCATAATTAAGTTGTAGAATGTCTTCCTCCCTTTAGATACTGCATAGTTTCTGTAGAGACTTCAAACCCATTCGTTCTTGCATCTAGGTCTGATGAACACACCTGACTTTGAAGAAAATGTTGAGCCAAAGCTGCCATATATATACTAAGTCTTTCCTCTTTGTAGCCTAGTCTTTCAGGGATTGATCTATATGCTTGCTTAATATAATTTGACAAAAACCTTTTTGTCTAGTTTTATAAACTCTCAGTGTTAACCTTTGACAGAAGAAAACCAATATCATTTTTCAGATTCATTTATGAATCCTTGAAAGATGTAAACAATTATGCTGTATCTTTGCTACCACTACCAAAATAAGAAAGCTGTGTGTGAAGAAGAAAAATATCTTTATATTCTTACATGTCTCAAAATTCTATTCACAGATTTTAGTTATGCTCGCTACTATGGTGATTCTTACCTGGAATTTCAAGGCTTACATTTGAACATGCAAAATTTCATCCACCTGGAATTTAAGACCTATGATCCTCATGGCCTTCTTCTAAATATTGAACAGAGCCCAGAAACAATTCGACATTTTCTAATTCGACTTGTCATCAATAATGGTACCTTGCAGGTAAGGCATCAAAATCTCCCACTGAAGGAAAAGTAAATAAAAGTTGAATCTGTAAAACTGTTAGTATTTTTTAATTTTCTTACTGTAGAAGATAGTAAATAAAGCTACGGAGATCCTTGACATCTTCAGTATTTTAAGGAAGATAGTTGTTAAACTTGATCTCTGTTTTGTCCATTTCTTGGCTAATATAGTCAATATGACTCACAAGAGTATACATTAAAACACAAAACCAAAAAATGTACGTTTTATCTTTACATGCTGTACAAATTGTCGTATTTTATACCTAAACTAACTGAAATTCCTCACATGAAACTTCATTAAAATTGTTATAAGGAAGGCTTTTGACATAGGCATAGATATAGAAATTGAATGAATTGTCAGAGAAAAATTTATTATGTTAGAGAATAGAGTGTATCTTTTTCACCATGTATCTATACGTAGAAATCTTTCACTCCATCTATTATTTAGATCTCAGTTCCACAGGATCAGGAAAAAACAATTATTTGGCTCTTGTGGACAGACTAACAAGGAATATATTTGTTTATAAACTTTAAAGAGTAAAGTGTTTATTGTGGTATATCTTTACCTTCCACAAATTATTCCATCTTTTCAGAGAAAGAGGTAATACTAGAGCTTTATTAAGAGATAGGCAGATACTAAAGAGGCTATAAAAAGATATTAAAAGAAAAGTTACTTTTCTCATGACTTGCCTCCCATTTTCCTGCTGAAATTTCCCAAAGTACCTGTAATATATTCTTTTGTAAGAACTGTGAAATTTCTGTTAGAAACAGCATTTTGTATTATATTTGCTTTCATGTTTTAAGACCATGACCATACTAAACAGATATATAAACTGAAGATAAATAGAAAAGAAGAAAATTACCTTTTACTCATTTTGTTATGTTGTGATTTTTTTGTCTTTTACTATATTGTGACTTTGTCCAGAAAAAAAAGGTGAGATTAGTCATGGGCAGGAAGTTATCCAATGTTTAGAAAATGGTGATGGCTTTAAGTTCATCTTACTTGTATTCATGGTAAAGTAATGATGCAGAAAAATATTTTTCTAACATATCATCAGCACCATAAAATATGAAAGTACTTTAATTGACACAAATCTATTCAGAGATCCCAGTGTGCCATGTTAAAACTAATTGAATTCACTTAATCATTCACAAAGCTGGTCAATTAAATGTGGATTTAAAGCCCAATGAACAAATGCTTCTAAGCTCACAATCAAGCTACAATTACAAGTAGACAAACCATGAAATCAAGTGCTTGTTCGCATTAGTATAGGAAATTAAATGGTGCTCCAAAATGCTCAAGCCTGCACGCTACATTACATGTTTGGAAGTGTAAGGAAGCCATAAAATGTTAAGTAAAATTCACCCATGGCCAGTGTTAATTTCAGATGGGTTGCAGATGGTCGACTTCTTTGCAAATCAGACCCATAATATCTGACTGTACAATACACAAAGATTAAAGCATTTTCACGCAGATTAGGAAGCATATATGTGTACTTGAATATTTCTGGTACAATAGGCTTCCTTATCCAGAACTTTCAATGAAACATTTTTTTTTCTTGATACACATGACATCCTTCAGGGTTTTTTTTAAACCATTTATCATTTTAAAATTCAAGTTTCAATGCCTGAAACTGTTTAATTATTGGAAATAATGTAATTAAAACCTTTTCCCACTCTGTAGTACCAATATTTATGTGATGACGCAGCAGAAGTCAAAAACATCACTACCACTGCTAGAGTGGACGATGGATACTGGTACAGTGTGCAAATTAGGTAAGTTTACTGTTTTCAGTTTTTATCAAAGATCACATAGTTTGGACCATTAGTAAATCCCACAGATATTATATCTGATTAACCATGATACCTTAACACATACTGTAAAACTGTGTTATGGTGGTCTGGGCCAAAACACATCCTTGGAAAGAATGTTTAAATCTGCAGTTGGACAGTGCTCATCAGATCCCTGATGTGCTTAGTGGAAATAAATTTATTCTTTTTGATGTAATTTACTGTAGCAAACATAAACATTCAGTCAGGAAAGATGCTGCACAGTAAATCCAAGCTACTCAATCCAGGAAATAGTTGAATTTCCAACAATGAGAGTGTGATTTATAGAAAAATATTGGAAAATAAATAGATAGGGAGAAGCAGCACCTTGACTTTCATTGCTGTCACTGGCTTGCAACTCATAATAGGATATGTTATTCCTGTAAAAGTAACAATACGTGCAACTGAAGGAGAATAAAATGAAAAGAAAATTAGGTAGGAAAAAGGGGTAGGTAGTAGGCTTTCCATGATGTTTGTGCATAGATGTATCTAATGACCAAATATTTGTGCTCATAGAATCCACAGCCTTGGAAGTGAAAGTTTTGGGTTCACTTTACAGGAAAGTTAGGCACCTAGTGTGCTCTCTGAGTGCCTAGTTCCTATTAGGTAGCTTAAAATAGGTCCAGCCATCTTGTCCAGCAAGAAAAAAGCAAGCTGGCTGTCTGCTTGTCTCTCAGGAGTAAGTTAGTCCTTAAAAAGTTTGTGGAGGAGTGCAGAAGGAATACAAACCTTTCTCTGGAATAGGCCTTTTGTAGCTCTATCTGTCCAAACATTGTTAAATGAAGAACATTTGCAGGGCAAGACTGTCTCCCCTTCCTTCCATGGGAAATATGGTGGAGTGTGTATCCATTATATTGTGCCTGTTGTCTCAGATGTGGCAGTGAGTACTCAGTGAGGAGAACCAAAGTTTGTTTCTGCATTTCAATTACCATTTCTATCATAATTTTTTTTTTTCCAGCAAGTTAAACCACACTCATGGCTAGGACTGCTCAGTAACACACACAAATTAATGCAAGGAGCAAAAGCCAGTAATCCACTGTGGTTGTGCTTATCACCCAAAAAGGAGCAGCATAAACCAAGCCATGCTAATGGAAGCTAAAGCAAGTGTAAGCTCCTCCGTGACCAGGAAGAAATAGAACACAGTATCTCGATGGCACTGATAAAAATGAGATTCTCTAAAATCGAATAACATACGGAGTTCTGTTTATTTCCTGGTTATGATTCCCTCTCCATACCAAAATACAGAAATTAAATTGGAAAACAGTTTTTAGAGAAGAGATATAAAGATGATAAAATCATTAAGCATCTTCTATATGAATAGAGACTAAATACTCAAGTACTCTGCAAGCCCATTAAATACAGGTAAGAGAGGATCCCAAAGAAGACAAATCCCAAGTGACCCAGAAAGGGGATAAGTGGAGACATAAAATTTCTAGTTACTTAGAGAGTTGAAATCCGTTATGATTCAATTGTTATTCCTTGTTGCTCATTTTAAGAAAGATTTAAGATCCTGAAAATAGCAAAAATATGAATACCTGAACCCTCAGTAATGTGGAACTCTCTGCAGTGCCTTTCCCCTGGCACTGAAGCATTCAAACTGTGATGTCAGTGTCATCCCTCAGAGAGCCACTAATTACCTTTATGGGAATACACTTATTCCATGCATTTTCCCCTACTCCATCAAGCAGAAAAAAGCTTGAGTCTCTAAATCAGCCCTGTGATATGATGATAGCCCACGACAAAAGAAAGCCAACCTAATTTCTATATTTTGCTTTTCCTTTTGAGCATAAAAAAGAAAGGAACTTTCATTTGCAGGAAATTATTTCAGGACAGCTCAGGAAACGGGCCACACTTATTTCTCCTGCTGAAAAAGAAGGCATGCATACCATTTATGAGACTCAGGCTAGTTACAGAGCAATTAATAATTCATCATTCCACTCACTTCAGAAGAGTGGAAATAGTTCTGGAAATAGTTGTTTTAAGATGGCATTCTGCAGATGACACCAAGTTGTGTGCGAGCGTTGGTTCACTGGAGGGCAAGAGAGCTCTGCAGAAGGATCTGGGCAGGCTGAATCAATGGGTCAAGGCCAATTATGTGAGGCTTGTGAGAAGTGGCTGAGGGAGCTGGGGCCGTCTGGCTGGGAGAAGAAGAGGCTGCAAGGAGACCTTATGGCCCCCCTACAACTCCCTGAAAGGAGTCTATAGTGAGGTAGGGGTCAGTCTCTTCCCCTGACTAACAAGAAATCAGACAACAGGAAATGGCCTAAAGTTGCACCAGAGGAGGTTTAGGTTGGATATTTGGAAAAAAATCTTCACAGAAAGGGTTGGAAAACACTGAAAGAGGATGTATAGGGAAGTGTCTGTGTCACCATCACTGGAGATATATAAAAATCATGTAGACATGGCAGTTAGAGCTAGGGTTTATTGTTGGATGGACTAGGCAGTGCTGATTTAACAGTGGAGATTGATGGCTGTAAAGATCTTTTCCAACCTAAACAACTCTGTGATTCTATGATTCTAAGATTCAAAATATCAGCAATGTAGATGTCAGGAAGATTTGGAGTTGCTTCTCACTGTCATCTCATGCATTTTCACATGTGCTTGAATTAATTATAAAGTATATATCCTGTATATTTATGCTTTACATTTTTTCCTATATTGACAATTAAATATATATTGTTGACAGTTAAGTTTGATAGAGTCAGTCTTGAAATATGAGTTGTTTTATAAAGTTAACATTTCTTTAATCAACTGCAGTGTAATACAGCATAAGAAAACTTAAAATAACTTTGATAAAAAATTTCTGTAACTTATTCAACAACTTTCTAGAGGCTTGCAAATATTTAATCTTCTCAGAACTGATTTTCAGTGAGATAAATATGTTAAATTTTGAACAATGGTATCTGGGAAACTAGTGAAGTTAAATGGGAATGTAGGAGATACTACATATTGTAACATCGTGGGTATGCACACAGGATTTTCTTTGTTGTGGATATGTTAAGCATTGTGAACAGATATTGTGGATAATAACAATATTTTTTTTGAAAGAAAATGCTAATTTTAATTATTTAATGTTATCTTAATTTTTTGGAGCTCTTTTGATGTAGTCCTGTGTTGGAAAGGATTTTGTCTTTTCAATTAAGGAAAAGCAGTGCATTTCAGCTACTGAAGATAAGCCATCTTCAAAGAGCGTGATGCCTCTACAATATCATATTAAATGAAGGTAGACTTAAAAGTAGTGACTGCTGTTAAATACAAGTTTAAGTACAGTGAAAATTAGATAGTGATAGTATCTTCCTTTTCTCCTTACAGGAGAACATTTTACTGCTTCCTTTATCCCACAGAAATAATTCCTCATGAAAATAAAATAAATGACACACTATCTAATGTTTGCAAAAAACGTACATATTGCTGTCAAACAATGTCCTTTATGCAGTTCTCATGGTTCATCATGATATTTATGCTGAAAGAAAAGTAGCAGCATTGCTGAAGAACATTTTTCCTGATGATGGAATATTGTGACTACAAAAACTGTAATAATTTAATAAATTTGGTACAATGTAAGGACTGTATTTGCTTCAAAATCTGGGATATTGTGCATAATTTGGGTTAGAATGTAACTTTTTGCATCAGATTAGTCTAATCTAGAATTGGCTGTTAAAACCAACGTTTCCGAGGTTTGCCTCAGAGCAGTGCCTGAAAGTTCCATTTCATGTTTAAACTATTGTGGTTGTGTACTAAGCCTGTTAATGAAACTTCATTGCAGCTGTTTCACTCACATTTCTGACTATTGTTTTGGTTTTCTTGAGTGTTACCAGGGAAGTGAGTGAGCTACTGTGAAAAATGGATATGGGCAATATCCCACAGGGATTGGATTACTGCAGGATATTGTGGAGAAGAAAATGTTAGACTCAAGAACTGGAAGATTTACATATTTGGTTTTGTAGTGAAGATACAGTTTTCTTACTGGCAATGCACGGGATGCTCAGCCACAATCTTCTCATTCCAGCCTTCATAAAACTGCCTCCATTAACTTTAAGCTTTTTCTTCTTTAATCTTTGTCATCAAAACAATTGATAAAATAATATGTATTGCAGAAGCAAACCAAACTGCAGCAGCAATATTAGAAATTTGCCTTTTCTTGCCCCAGTACTCTCCATTTCAGTACTGATACAAATAGTTTCCTCAATTATGTAAAAAGTATTTTTATAAATTGATGTCTCAGATTATTATTTTCAATTGCTTTAGCAAATTTGTCCATTTATAAATTTATTATGCAATAGATGTCATGAATAGAACTTCATTCTTTAATGTGAGTCTGTCATGTTTGAATTTTTTTTAATTGTCTGAGATATTTTGGATTATGATCTGGTGTTGTGCTCCATTATAAACTGACTGTAAAATCTGGCAATTGCTTTTCAAAGAGTGTTTTATTCCTCTATTTTAACTCCTATTGTTTTAAATTTGAGTTTTGCACTAGTAACCTATAGGTCTTTTAATGATTGATTGTCTTGCTTTTGAGATGTAAAAGTTTTCTGATTCCTTTAGTCAGAAAGAGATGTTTATAATCATGCCAAAATGCAACATATGCTCATTCAGGAGCTTTTATATTGCTTGGTTTTGACAGCTGTTTATGAGGGTCTGAGATAATCCATATGGTGCAAAGTATCCTGTATTTATTATCCTTCACAACATGCTACAAACCTCATATTTTCCCTAGGGCTTTTAGATAGGTAAGATAAGCATATGACAGATAAAGTGGGTAGCAAATCCTGCAGACGCTTCTCTGTTTTGGTTTTTTTTTGGTTCTTTTTATTTCTTTTATTGTAAATTCCTGTTTTTATTTTATCGCAAAGGTGCAGAATTTTGACCTTCATTTTTTAGCATGACAGCATATGGGTGAAGAAGTCACTCATCTGTTGTTTCATGTACCATGTAAATGTCAT